TTGGGGGTTTTTGTTTCTTTTTAAAAGGTTCAATTAGCTCCTCTTCCCCAATAGACTCGCAAGCATTTAAACCCGAAAATCCCACACCTCCGGCTGCTACTTACATACAGGAAATCTTACCCCAAGCTTGGCAGGATTTAGTGACTGCAGACTCTCATATGCAAGCATAGTTAAATGTGCATTTTCTTGAGCAGGTGAAGCAGTATACCAATCCCTGTGGAAGATTAACCTATCTTTAAAAAACTCACCACGGCTAAAAGATAGATGCTTTTCAAATGGGGATATAAAGCCCCATTTCAAATGGGGATGAAATCTTCATGATATTCTAGGCCAGATTAAGATATCTGAAGCCCCCCGCTGTGTTTTTTGAGCTGTTTTTGCTCAAAAAGGGGGAGAATAAAGCTGCATTCCATTTGCTAACAACTGAAAGGATTCAGAGAAGCAGCAATATGCTTTTCTAACCAGAGAAACTTGGAAAATGAGAGCACGTGCAAGTCCACCTAACCTGTACCCAAAACAAGCCTTAGCTGGTCAAGAATTCCTGTTTCTTTGTGCACATATTAAGTATATAAGGAAACATATATATATATATATACACACACATATGTATGTAAATTCCATAAATAAATATATCTTGCAAGGAGCTCTAGATTTTCCCAAACTAACACACTGTTAGTACCAATTCACGGGACAAGCTCTAGGCAGCCTTATCCTCATTTCCTCTCCACTGAAATGCTCCTGTGTAAAGACAGGACAGTGGAAGAACTTTTGATTTTTCTCCCTCATTTCTCCTCGATGCCAAACGCTCCTCCCATTGATGCAGTTTCATACAGAACAGTGAGCGTTACCTCACACGTGCCCAGGGCAAACAGGGATAGTAAATGACCGCGATTTCCCTGGCATAGTCAAGCTTAAAGGAGGAATAGAAACCTCGGGTAACTCATCCAAAGGCTGACAGGACACGGAGAATGACTTGGCAGAGAGACACAGATCCCTACCGCACTGTGCCCTGCTCCTCGCCATGGACCGCGCTGTCTCTCAAGCCAATCGCCTCCAAACCTGCACAAGATGCAGATACCTCTATAGGAAAATATTCGGGCAGTCTGGCTGAGGAAGAGCTGTCCAGCTAGTGGTGTCAGGAGCCCTAAGTCCAACACGGGAGCCTACTAGCAGATCCAGCATTCCTAATTTTACAGCCACCATGCAACACGTTTCCTGCCACTGGTCCTAAAAAGGCTTTGGCTTGTGCTTGATTCCACTTACAATTGTTAGATTTGCTGATTTTGCTGGACAAGTCACAGTCTGTGAAATTAAGTGCAGTCACTAGCATTGGACTAGTGGCACATTACTGCCCTGCACACTTAAAATTTCCCATCCCTGAGAAAGACAAATCCAACAACTCCTTTAACAAGGGCCACGTGGAAGCCCCTAGAAGATCCCTTACAAAGATATTGTCGCTGCTTATATATCACTTTGCCCCATTGCTGCTAAAGCTTGTCATCACCATTMTGCGGGAGAAGGGATATTTGAGGGACGTTTTCRTTTTGTTTTGTTTGTTTTTGTAGGTTTTAATTACAGAAAGTACCTGCAAAGCACAGGAGTGCACCTCGGCCAGGCAATACGCGATAGCCCTCAGCACTAATTAGCAGTCCTTTGGCTTGGCTTTGCACACAAAGCAGGAGAGTAAAGCCCCGTGCATTTCCCGCTTCCCTGTCCTCCTCTTTCTTCCTTTCCCCAAGGCAGCAGAATTAATATCTCACTGAGTAATCACAATTTATCCAGGGTAGCCATAAATAGGGAATCAGCTTCAAAACCTCAGGCTCAGCTAGTGCTTTACCTGTAGCTACCAAGGGATTTCTTTTGTTAATTWAGGCAGGTGGGACCATTACCCACGTTATAAACAAAGTGGTGCACAAGAAAGCAAAAACTGCAAAACAAAGCAAACAGTAGGTCAGTTAATTCCCAGCCCCTCTCCCATTGAAACCATGGCTCCAGTTGCACCAAGATTCCTCACAGTGGACAACACAATATAAATCGGACACGGAGACTTTTGGACAGGACATAAGAAGAAAACCCACAGGGGCCCTGCTGGCAGCAGGAGGTAGGACAGGAGACCTGAGGTCCCCTCCAGTCCAAACTGTCCCATAGGCCTGCGGAAGAACTGCTGGAAAAGGGGGAACTTAGAGAAAGACTAGGGCCTAACAGAGGTTGGGGCATTTCAGAAGCTGCTTGGGGTGAGACACAGTTGCCACTTSCAGGATAGTTGGTGCAGGGACTCTGCTCCTCCACAGYTCCCTGGGCRGCACAACCTGCCCTCCTCGCAGCTGCAGAGAGGAGTCACAGAGTGTGGAGCGGGGTGAAGACACCGGGACCAAACTCTGCTGAGCTCCCAGGAGAGCGCACAGACGAGCAGCACAGGAGCTGCCCAGTGGGGGATACATGATAATACGTCCGGTGCTGAGCMAGCAAGGGTGGCAAATCACTCCTTTCATCAAATCACTTTGCTCAAGCTTTGCTCATGATAAGTTCATTATAATGCCAAAACACACCTCCACCCCAAGTTACCTGCCTCTGAGGTACAACCACTCCTCAGTGAGTGTGAGCTCCAGATTTTCCATTGACCCTACCTTTAAAGGAAAGCGAGAAACTTTTTCACCAATCAATAACAATAGTAAGTATGATGATAGTCTCTCAAGCTCCACCAGAACATAAAGAAAAGGTATAAAAGGTGAAGTAAGGAGGAAAGAAGTTAGGGGGAAGATTCCATCGTGCCTGCTGAGTCAGTCGATGGACTGAGCCCCTTTCCTCCCCTTGGGTCGGGACAGCCTGAGGAGACTCAACACTGAGAGCCCTCTCCCACCTCCTGGGSTGAGCSGTGGTKGCACAGCTGTACATCAGAGCTAGCTACAAATCCCACGCTGCAGTAGCRACTTTCCTGTAGTGACATCTGCAACCTGCTTTGTCAACGTTGCGTTTGAATAAGTCACGRCATTWGTGAACTCGACTGCTTGTTTGGAAGGTGATGGGACCTTCGGCTGACAGACTGTTCATGAATCCAATACTGCCAGTTGGGTGTACGGCTAACATGGTATTTGGTATCTCCTTCCAACCATGCCATGGCTTTCAAACTGCAACCAGGCCCCAGGGAGAGAGGACAGCCACAGAAGCTTGCAACAGGAAGACCAAGACCAAACAAAAGCTCTAAGCTCCAAGTTGGCTCTTGGCGTTTTGCCCCACTGGACAAAAGAGTTGTGATCTGCTCGGATCTCCCATTTGGGCTGGTGGCTGTTGCTGAGAGAGGCAGTTTGGTGTTGCTTGCATGTGTGTGAGCTTCTGCTGTCACCTTCTGAGCCAACAGACCRGAGCGCTCATGTCTGAGTAACCCCTTGCCACTTCTTCTGCAAAGCATTTGCAAGTAGCTAAGAAAACAATCCAAAAGGATCCTCAGGAAGAACAGAAGGCTGTTATTCTCTATGTTAAGGATGACTAGCATGCGTCACAAAACAAAAGAGAAGAGGAAAAAAATGTATATTATCTAAAAATTGCTGAATGACACTTTTGCTTTTCCTGTCTCTTTTTTTTTTAAATATTCCAAAGTCATATTTTCTAACTACTTTTAAATAGCATTCTGTATTAAATAGCAGATAATGAAAAGATATTTTCAAATAATAGAAGTTTCTTTTTTGTGGCAWTTCTGAGAAATGCAAAGACAAGGACATGCCATTAAACTGCCAAAGAAGAGGATGCAAGAGAAGCAATTAAACTCCCTCACTCTGCCCAAAAACTATAGAACATAAAAAGAAAGATTTTTCATATTTACTCTTCCTTTTAGACGTCAGCTATTCTACTCGCTCCCAACACCCTCTGTTCAAACTCCAGTACAGGGTCCCCATCAGTACAACCACACGCTGCCATTTCTAGCATCATTGGATTATTTTGCACATGAAGAGAGAGAAAACACCGTTTCAGCTGACTTGATGGGCTCAAAAACCTCTGATTCAGACCACRTCCAGCCATCCACTAATCTGTCACTTACCCACCTCCAGTTCCCTAATCTGCAGCGTGCAGGTAATACATATTTGTTTACAGGATGTGCAGGAAAATTAGTAACCASTCGGTACTTGCAAACCTTTTGCTCAAAAGGGACAAGTTTCCATTTCCCCAAATATGCTAGAGTTTGTCATTTGAACTGGAAATAACAATTCATGCACAAAACCTGACCATGGACCACTGATGTGGTCACCTACCAAGCTCTGATTTGCAAAGTACGCCCATCTAAATACACATGAAACAACACTGTGTGGAGGAGATTTCCCACATGTTTCCAGAACATAAKGGGCATATTCACAACTGGAGTGAGTTCAGCAGAGTACCCGCAAGAGAACCAAGTGGGAGGAAAAGCTGAGGGAAATGCGCTTCTTCAGCCAGCAGTAGAAGCAGCTTTGCGGGATGTAGAGGGGACCTAAAAGTGACTTTGAATACCTGAATTATGTTCAACTTCTGCACTTCCAGTTCCGCAAGGGAGGGGACAGGTATCTGTGTGCCAGAAAAGGGAGCCAGCCCCGGGAGCCTCCTCTGCTGCTCGGTGAGAAAAGACTTCACGTGTGAAGGGGATGGCGGCGGCGCCTGCCTGGATCAGCAGCTCGGCAGCGTCGGAGCGGAGCCGAGCGCAGACGCACGCGGCTCCCGGCGCCGAACAGAGCCTGTCTTCCCACCACGGAGGCACGGAGCATCTTGTCACGTCTGCACAGACATGAAAAGAAACAAATGCCTGGGATTTGCTACAGAGATTTTACTTCACAGACGCCCAAAAACGTCTCCTCAGAAAGAGAAAAAGTCTTTCTTCGAGTCATCATCTTGCACCCGTCTTATTAGAGAAGCCTCCCCCCCCAAGCCTCATGCATGCTGATGACAAAGCTGGTACACACACGGTGTCATCCGAGCTGTTTATAGCCGCTCTTTCATTTAATGCAGCTCATCTGCCAGCATTTGGGGTTTTTTTTCCTTTTTTTTTTGTGCAGGTTTTGTCTGCTTTACCATGTTATCATTTAAGTCTTTATCTATAAATCAAGCTGATACACAAGCCACTTTGTCATCTTTTGTTTTGCAACAGATGTACAGTAAGAAGAGACTGCTTCTGAATAGGAAAAAAATGAGAACATAAAGACAGCCTTGAGCAGGCACAGAAATTCCAGAAGAAAAACAAATGGCTTTTCTTACTGATAACCAATGGCACAGAAAGATGCTTTTGCAAAGAATATCAGAGAGGGAGAAAAAAATAACAAGATGATGACACTCTTCAGATGCAAATGTGATTTCTTCCTGTTCATAATCAGGGCAAGAGGAGCAATCTGAGGCACCATGTGGAAGAACTAAAGCTGAATTACATGTAGAAGGCTCCCAGGAAACATGCATTGTAGTGACGATTCAATTGCAGAAAAAGAGAGCATCAGACAGATTTCCACAGTGCCGGTGATTTTTGTGGAGAAGCCCTGGTCCTTGGGATCACGCTCTGAGCACCCCCTGAGGACCCGTCCTCACTCCTGCAACAGTATTGCCACCGAGAAGACTAAGTCTTAGCAACGTTACAGCTGTCCTTTAATGCAGTAGTGGAATATATAGGACCAACCACAGCCCAGAGACCTTCAGAAGTCAGAAGTAAGGCTGAAGAGGTGGCTTCTCTACGCTGCATAGGCTGTCACTTTCCTAGATCCCCTAGCATTACTAGGATCACACTTTTGGATAATAAATTCATGTTTTACTCTTTTATTATTATTGTTTTTAAGAAGCTTCTCTACTCACCGGAGAAGACCCACCACACAAAACACTGATTTCTTTCAGTGAAAAGGCAGGCCCTAAGCTAAGCCAAAGCCTAGGGTCCATTCAGCCCAGCTTTGCTGCTGACGAGGCACGAAGCTAAAGCCTTCAGTGAATACCATACCTCAGCAGATGACTCGGCCAACATATCCCACACACCCTTATTCCTGAGACCAGCTGAGGCATTAAGGGTGATGTTTGACCTCATATCCAGTGTTTCTCTCAGCCTGAAGCGTAGCTCTCATTTTTCTTGTTATCTACCTGAACATTCAACCTCTAGGAACTTCTTAATCTCTTTCTCCCAGCCACTTTAGGATATGAAATGCRTGTGAAAAATACCTTGAGAAGAAAATTCCTCATGAGAGGAGAGYGATCTTTGATCCACAAACCTTTAGCCAGCTAGATCTAGAAAATGATCAAAATGATCAAAGACTGAGAAAGTTACTAATTACTTCCTGAGGATTCCTACTTTCAGCCCAGTTTTAGAAATGCTCAGTTATTCCAACAACTGGTAGATGATGATGTAGGAAACATCATCTTTTCCATAAAATCAAAATACATCTGTAAGAATCTTCTCCCATTTAAGCAGTGACCTTAGCTTTGATAAAAGATGATTTTGGAAAGCTCGGACAATGCACTTCCTGTATAGCAGCCTCAATCTTGATATGACAAACGCCCATTAAAGGAGAAAAAAAAAAAAAAAAAAAAAAAAAAAAAAAAAAAAAAAAAAAAAAAAAAAAAAAAGGTGGTTGGGGGAAAGAGAAAGAAAAAAGGAGAGAAAAAGAAAGAAAGGATTATCTATAGTAAAAGGTAAATTACAAAAGCAAGCAAAAGTTATAATTAGCAATTTTCAACTGTAACTCCAGCAAAATCCCTGATGACAGAATGACAGATAGTGCAGTCAGCAAAAACTGGAAGCGTTAGATAATTTATAATCCTAATTAACTCTAGTAACTTGCTTAAAATAGAAAATAGCATGTGCATTGTTATTTGTATTTTCATGCCTAATCCAAGTTTTAGACTTCTTTAAGAATATGTGCAAGATTGGAAATTCCCAGAAGGCCTTAACAGAAAGCAGCAGCACAGAATATTCAGGCCAGATAAGAAAAACATAATATAAAAAATGGATCACGCACCATCAGATCTCCCCCGTTCAGAGGTTTTAATTATGCCATAACAACACAACTTAGAGATATGGCAACTTCTGCAAGGCATATTCTAACATTATAACACCTATTTTCAGCAAAGCCAGGGTGGTGACCAGCAGCCTGAGCAGGCTTTAAGAGTCTGCCCTCTCTATATATAAAGTATGTTTATAATGCTCCAAGTTCTTCATCAGGTGTAAAGCTAACAGATTTGTTATTGCTAAATTGCATAAATGTGTGCTGAAGTGATCACATCAGATTGATTGGGGAAATAAGGACCTAGAGATTCTGTTTCTGGTGAATTGTTTGTCAATAGTAACCACCGTAACTGTCTAGGACATAGTAAGTTAGACATTTAAATCATGTGCAGACACCTTTTCCTCTTCTACAGAGGGAAAAAATGGACTATAGAGTTTGCAAGGGAGCTGAAACAAAAGGAAAAAAAATGAAGAGGAAAGGAAGGAAAAAGACCTCTCTAACTGGCAACTTGATAGGTGGATTTGCTTGGGTTACTGCAAAACTGATATTCACATTTTTGACTCCTCTCAGCCCAGGAACTATAAAAGCAGACCTCCCACGTATGACATGTATCATAACCAGCCAGGCAAATGACAACACAGGGAGAAAAAAARAAGGAAAAAAAGACTACATATGAATGAAAAAAAAATCGCTCAGGCTTCCAGAAAGCCTTTGCCATCTTAGGTATAACCTAAATTGGTGCATTTCCACCAGAAGTCGGAGTTCTGACAATATCTGCCAATGGAAACTTGCCTTCTCCAGAAATTCCTCTGCATACATAAATTACGGCTGCTCAAAACATTGTTTTTCAACTTAAAATGAAGCCAAGAGGAAAAAAAAAAGGCAGAACAAAACAATAATCCCCTTAGAGGTCTACAAGCTACCCAGCCATTAGGCATCAGTGAAATAGAGATTGCTGAAAATTGCTGCCCAAGGTTATGTTCACTGGCTTCTCCTTGTGCGCCATTCACGCTACCACGGACCCTCCTGGAAATCTATTTCTACATCTCGATATTACTGGGTTCTGATAGCAAACTACTGCTAAAGAAGCTGCTCGAATTGCTTTTGTTGTTTTTACAGATACATGCTCATTTCAGGTTTTTTCTTTTTTCCTTTTTTTTTTTTTTTAACTGAATATCCTAAAAACTCTGATATCCCTTAAAAAGCAATTTAATTTAAAAAGCCAACCTTAAGGTTCCTTGCCAAGCATAAASAGAGGTCCTTGGCATCTGATTTTTTTCATTTACTTCCATGGGGTCACATCAGGGTCTCTTGCAGTGCTCGGGTCAGCTTGCAAACCCTCACGGAGACTGGGCTGCCTTGCCTCTATGGCCAAGCACTGGCAATGCTAATTTCCCTGCTTTTATAAACACGGTGTTAAGATCATACAGCCATAGTCTGATGGGGCTCTTCCTCCAAAATTAGCTTATATACTTTCATGTTTCATTTAGATTTAAAAAGTGTGTTTTTTATATATACATATATATATATATATACACACACACACACACACACATATATATACATAGTATCCTGAGGTTTTTAAGGTCACAACCTGCATCAGCCTAACCAGAAGTAGAGATAGCGCTGTTGAATAATATGCCTCTTCCATAATTCATTTGAAAATCATTAGTTTGCACTAGAAGAAAATCTTAACTATGTTAATATTTGTAAAATTATGTTCAGTCCATTATAACACAATGTACCTAAAGCGAAAGCTGCTCCTGTTCTGAATACTGACAATCATTTGGTATTTAGAGCAGCTCAGACSAACACCATCAGCATGGAGAGCAGCAGAGTTGCTTCTGATGTAAGGTAGTGCAGCTGGGAGTCAGGAACTGGTTCTAAACTATGCAACATAAAAGCTTTTGAGCCCCAATAATAGCACAAGACATTATTATAACTCTATAAATCTCGAGACAAAGCATTATTTATGCTGAAGCAATCTCCCAAATTGTGAAAAATTCTTTAGTTCTACTAGTGGAATGCTATTTTACAGAACAAAAAGCCAACAATACCAGTTTCATGTTCAGATCTGTTTCTGAACATAAATCCATACTTTAGGAGGCTGGCACGTGTTGGCAATGACACGCGTCCAACACCATTTGGCCCCTACCGCGTATAAATGGAGTTCTTCRGCAACTCTTCAGGGCCTTTACACATGCTTCAAATTTTGAGTAAAACCTTTTCTTTGCCCCTTTTCTGAGTGGTTTGAGTACAAAACACACGTTTTGCACAAATAAGAGCCAAGTTGAAGACTCAGGGCTTGTGTCACCTTTTAGGCCTTGCTAGGAACTAGATGTGGGCGCTAGGCACAGATGGGAGGAATGGTCAGCACTGCAGGAGATCAGGACATTAAAGCCTGCAGCTACTCCAGCCTGCTCTGTAGCTGCCATCGCCGCTGTGCCAACTACCAGCCTCMATCTGAATGAGAAAACAGACCCTCAGCAACAAGGGGAAGAATGAGAGAGAGGGAAACTAGCCTAATAATAACTTGATTATAGAGAGAAAAAATAGCACTTAGGAAATGAGGTGTCTTCATTGAACTGAG